TTTTTTCGTTTCTTTCTTTCCTCTCCCCCCCCCCCCCCCCACCTGCTGTGAACCTCCCGTCGCCGCTGGGGAGGACTGGACCCAAGGCCAGGGGGCGTGTGTGGCAGACCCTTTGTGTTTCTCCACCACCACCCTCAGGCCTCCCACTTCCCCAACCCCACCTCTCTGGAATGGGATTTCGCAACCAAGTGTGCGCTGAGTGGACTAGGCGGCCTCCAGCCCGACCGCGGATCGAGAGGCGGCTTCTGGGCTCGCGCGCTGCCCGCCTGCGGGTGTGTTTTAAGTGTTATTGATTCGCCCGCGTCTGGATGGCTTTTCTTTTTTCCCCACTTGCTTTAATCTTCATCTTGGCCCGTGCACTGCCGCCCTGCGCTCATCCACTCATCCAGCATCCAGGAAGCAGATTGGGCCTATTGGCTGTGGCCGCGTTAGGTATTATCTTCTTTTTAATTAGAAAAGGGGGGCGGAGACACCGAAGACTGAAGAAGGGAAAAACAACAGAGAATAAACCTGGGGGATCGGACATCTCATTGGCTCACTGGGGACCCAGTTACCCTAGGGTAGGAGGCGCGGAGGTCAGGAGGGCGTGGCCCTCCCCTCTCTGGGCCATTTGGAGTGAGGTCCCGGTGAAGAGTTGCAGACTTTGAACTGCTCTGCTGCTCCCCGGGTCTGAGGGTTAAGCTCCCCAAATCCCTGGAGGTTTCCCAGTCTGGTAGGTGAGACTGGCTCTGGTGTCTCCCACTCTGTGTGACACATCTGGTATTCTAAGTTTACCTGGGTTGTTCAGATGACCCCAGTACTAGCCCCTGGGAACCGTTCGTTCCCAAAATATGGGAAATGGCACTCAATATGTCGCTTCCCAGCGACCCTCGGGGCGCAGACTGCCTACCTGCCAGAAGCTCTTGCTTAAGTAATTCGGGCTCTGAATTACACAGAGGGGGTGTGAACTTGCTTCAGGTTAGAAAAACGAAGGAAGGCTTTGATGGAAAAGAGACCCTCCCCTTTGGACACTAGTAAATTGCTTCTCTGAAATTTGGGTCCCATGGTGTCATTGCTCTCTGCAGGGACAGATATTTCCTGGTGGTCAGCTAGGTGTTCAGAGGACTTGTAGCCAAAATCTTTGCATGCCATCCTTCTGTCCTGCCCTCTCTGGGATCTCTCTCCCACTCTAACTCTGTGGGAGGGCCACTATAGTAGCTGAGATGAGATTGCCCCCTCCCCCCCCAGCACCTGCCAACCACCACCTTCCTCCAAATCTCACTCTCTGTCTCTGTGTCCCCTTCAGTGGCTTCTCTTCGGTGGTCGCTCTGGGTGCAAGCATCATCTGTAACAAGATCCCAGGCCTGGCTCCCAGACAGCGGGCAATCTGCCAGAGCCGGCCGGACGCCATCATCGTCATAGGAGAAGGCTCCCAAATGGGCCTGGACGAGTGTCAGTTTCAGTTCCGCAACGGCCGCTGGAACTGCTCAGCTCTGGGAGAGCGCACTGTCTTCGGGAAGGAGCTTAAAGTGGGTATGTGATCATCAGACACCCTGAGCAGGGCCTTCTGAGCTATGAAGAGAGTCAGGACCCTTGGGAGTCCTCTCTTGTCCCTTTGCTTGCACTATGCTCCACTACCCTTGCTGACTGAATCTTGTCGGTGCATGGTTTGGATTAAGGTCTCCCACTGAAGGCCAGAATTGCAGATGGAAGCCATGCCATTTTGTTGGTTACAGGCAAAGCTACAAACCAACTGATGGCCCAAAGGCTCGCTGGCAGATCTAACTAACATGTTTTCAAATGAGGTCCAAAATTTAAATGCGGAGTGTTTTGCCCATGACAGGAAACTGTAGCTTCTTTGGGAAATGGGAAGATCTATTGATCACTTAGTGTGCACTGGCATCACTGTGATATAGCTGGGAATACAGCTTCCTGAGGGGAGGGTCTGAGTGACCCACTCTGCCACACTCCCCACCACTCCTTACTATGGTCCAGCATTCATAGTCCTGTGACATGACCAACCTGATTCCTGCAGCAGTGCCTGGGGCGGAGGTTGGCATGTGCAGATGAGTATGTATGCCTGAACATGTGCACACACATGTATTCCACTTGTGGAGCAATCATGATAAACTTGTGATGGGAAGGGAGCAGAGAATGTCATTGATCTTCAGAAGGTCCTGGCTGGTGGGGGAGGATGTGGAGATGTCTTCTCACTTGTATGTGTCCAGACTTGGGGGCCCAAGATGGCAACAAACTCATTTCTGCACTGTGACCTTCCCTGAGGCACAGGGCAATACAGGTCTCTCTGGGATGAGCTTACCCACACAGTTCTGCTGCAAAGCCAGGCTCCTTGAATGTTCTCTTCAGCCCTAGCAACTCCAGTGGGATGCTCAAAATCCCCAGTCCAGTACAGCATCCTCCAAATCCTGGCTGCTTCTCCAGCTCCCCTGCTGTCATCTGGGCTCCCAGGCTGCCCCACCTTCCTGCTGCCCCCAGAAGGAAGGAACAGTTAAGTGGAAACCAGAGCATGGTGTTACTCTGTGAAAGGCCCTTTAAGGGGGCACTCATTCCAGCCAGTGGGAAACCATTGCCCACCTGCTGTTGAGACCTCGGCCCCTTCAGGACCACTCAGTCTCATCCTCTTTTGTAAACACACCTTACTGGTTCCTCTTCAGGGCCATAAGTGCCTCTCTAGAGATCAGCACCATAGTCCAAGTCCTCTGCATGCACCGGAGTCTCTTGGAGTCTCCCGCCACCTGCTCCTTGGCTCCACATCAGCCAGCACCTCACACTATGTCAGTGCCCACTCACACTATTCTGCCCACTCCAGGAGGCGGGGGATCTCAGCCAGCTCACAATGAGTACGCCCTTTCCTGCCTCCAGGTAGTCTTGCTGCAAGTCTGCTTTGGTCACTAGATTCTGTATTGACTACAGAGCTGGGCTCTGTGGTCTGTATGACATGGGAAGGCAGGTCCCCTCCTGCAGAGCCCCTTTCCCAGCATTCCCTGTCTGGATCTTGGCTACATGGAGTCCCTCCTCTCCACACCCATCTGTCCCCTGCATTGTCTCAACCTCAGAATCAGTTCTCTTGTGGACTAGAGAGGAGCGGACCACATCAGCTCAGGCAACAAGATGTTGTCAACACCAAGACGGTGGTTGAAGCCTCTGAAACCCCAGTCTCTCAAGCCTTCTGCTTGTCACCTGTCAACTTTGTCCTTCTCAAGTGTCCTATCCATCTTCTAATTCCTGATACCTAGGCTGGGGCTCTGGCATTATTTTGAACCTAATGGCCTTGCTGGACCATGATGAGTAAACTTGCTGCAAATGAGTAAACTGATGTTCAGAAGGGACTTGGCCAAAGTGAGTGACAGGGTCTCCCAGGACAGAGTTCATCTTTTACAGCTTGCTGTTTCAGAATGGGTATGTCAGCCCATAGACACACTGTGATGATACCCATTGGGCTGTGGCAGAGGGGGCCAAGATGGAGGCATCCCTGGATCATAACACCCCACACACCTGGCTACGTTCTGTGGGAATAGCCCCACACAGTCTAAGGAGGAGGGATGCCCCCAGTATCCTGGGAAACAAAGGACTGAGTTAGAGGCATGCCAGTTGAAACAGGTAGGGGTAACCGTGAGGAAACACATGACACAGCAATGCTGGGGTATTATGGGTGAAAGTGGGAGCTAGAGCCAGGAGATGTGGGATCCCAGTCTAAGGAGCTTGAATTTCTAGGACTTGGGATCTGTTGGAAGACTCTGCCCATAACTACCAAAGGATGGTCTACACCTTAAATATTCTCACTATTCAGTACTTATTGACCCACAAAATGGCAACTTCATATGAGTCAAGTCTTTCTCATGTGTTAACAGGACCCTGTTATCTCTCAAATATGAGATTTCTAGGCTCCTCACCCCCATCCCAGGATTGCCTCAGCTTGCCTGGTAGGGGTGAGGTCTCTGACATATGGAGCTTCTCTGGCACTCTGAGCCATAGGGCACGAGTTGCCTTTGTAGGGACTTCTCAGAAGCTCTACCCTGAATATCTTTGCAGATCCCATTGGCTAGAATTTAGTCACATGGTTTCTCCTAGCTGCAAGTGAAGCTGTGAAAGGCAGTCTCGCATGCAGAGCAGCCATGCTATCAGCTCAGGGTGTTAGGAATACACAAGTAGATTATGACGTAGGGTCGCTAGCTTCTACTTCACCAAGCTGAGGTCTGAAGACTTCCTTCCTCCCACCTGCTCCCACCCATACCTTCGATGGTCCTCTCTTCTGCCTGAGCTTCCTGGCTTTGCCTTCCCTTCTGAGTGTCTGAATTTTCATGCAGAGATCTGAGAAGGTTGTGAGCATGTCTAGACAAGGCCTCTTGGAAGCAGAAATTGAAACCAAGTCCAACACACCCAGGTGAAAAGGGGACTGTTAAAATGCCAAAGGAAATGGAAAACTAGGAATGGTGCTGACTTCAGAACAGCTAGAACAGAGGTTGCATTGCTTTCCCACAATGCCATGGGGACAGCCAGATGACCATTGTAGACCCAGGACCACAACAGGTTCAAGACTCCAGAAAGAGCCTTGGCCTTTCTCCAGCCACACTGTAAAGGTCCTGATGCATCCTCTGGTCCCACAGCCTAACGAGGCCGGACTTCAGGCCATGTGTCCATCCCAGGGGCAAGATGCTTTGCTGGCCAGCATGAGAGCTCCACTCTGGCCATCTCTCATGGAAAAGAAGCAAAATGCCAAACCTGGGGCTTAAACGGCCGGCATTTATTCCTAACAGTTCCTGAGGCTGGAGGTTCAAGATCAAGGTCCAGCAGGGTTTTCTTTCTCCTGAGGCCTCTCTCTTGGACTTGCATAAGGCTCCCTCCCTTGGTGCTAGGAATCCAGCCCAGGGCCTTGCACTTGCTAGGAAATCACTCTACCACTGTCAAGCTGGTTTGTTACTGTGTCCTCACCTGTTTATCCCCTTCCCTCATGGAAGTTCTCACGGTTCTTTTAAAAAGATACGGTCTCATGGGATTTGGCCCACCAATGACCTTATTTTAACTTAACCACCTCTTTAAAGGCAGTTGCAGTCACATTCTGGGGTGGTAGGGATCAGACTTCAGTGTGAGTTATGAGGGGACATAACTGAGCCTATAGCAAGAAGCAGTGGCATGGCCCATGACTTAAGAGAGGTGCTGGAGGGCAGGAAGGGGCTCAGAGGTGAGACCCCCCCCAAGATGGAAAGAGGGGTTTGGGTCTAAGAACAAGGTAAGGGACTTGCTGGCTAGTCACTGGGATCACAGGCAGTGGGTAAAACCACTGTGAATAAGGTCCTAGGAGACAGGGAAAGGACTCAGGTAAGAGAGGTTCCTAGTGAACCGGTCTTTCCCGAGAGTGCCAGGGTGTATGACATGATATGTTTAATCAGCTGAGACCTGGCCCAGGGAGACCCTCTGGGGGCCCAAGAAGGGCTTTAGCCCCACCCATCGCCATCTCTTTCTTCTGTGCTGGGGACTGAACTCAGAGCCTTAATCACACCTTAAAACACTTTCCTAGACCTTCAGAACCCCTTCTTTAAATCCAGCGGAGGAGTGATGGTTCCTTATCCTGGGAGCTTCCTTCTCTACCTGTCCCTGCCCAAGCCAAGCTTTCTCCATTGTGAATGCGGAGGGGCTGGAGAAGTTTCCATGTCCCTTTTGGCCTATATTTTACTCATCATAACAGATACACCTCCCCATGAAATGACTTCATTTCAGTTGAGTTTAATTATGACTGTGGCAGATTTCACCTCTGTCACTCCACAGTGCCACTCATAGCCTCTCCAATGGGACTTCTCAGACCTCCACATTCCTGTCTGGTTAAGTGGGTGCCACACATGGAGCTCCCTGCCACTTGCCATCATGATTTATATTTCCCAGTGAAGGGAGGAGGTTGTATTTACTCACCCCTGAGCTGTCTGGTCATGCCTTTTGCCCATTTCCCTGTTGTCATGCCGGTTCTCCCATTGGGCTGGGATGACATGGTAGTACTGACATTATGATACAAAGATCCAGGGTTGCATTAGGAGTACCCAGGTGGGGATCCTCACTCTCTGATCTCCTTTACTGAGGCTCACATATGGCCAGGAACTGAGGCAGCGCTTTCTCAGCGCTGGGAAGGTATGTGACCTTTCTCCTCTCATTCTGCACATCTGATGTGGTCCACCATGCCAGGTAGCAGCAGAACTACATGATACAGGATGTAAGACCCTGGCACCTGGTGGGTTGGATCTCAAAGGATCTCCTTTCCCTCTTCATGGAGTCTGTGTGCTGCTCTGATATGGATGCAGCTCAGTATCTAGGAACTCAAGCCCCTAGAGTTCTATTCTTTGTTTTCTTTTGTTTGTTTTTTTTTCAAGACAGGGTTTCTCTGTGTACCAGCTCTGGCTGTCCTGGAACTTGCTTTGTAGACCAGACTGGTCTTGACCTCACAGAGATTCCCCTGCCTCTGCCTCATGGTCCAAGTCCTTTTCTTTGTGTAGCAGAAACTATTGGTCAGGCTACTGATCTGA